CGGCGGCTGCGGGAAGACGTCGCTGCTGATGGTCTTCGCTGCTGGGGCCTTCCCGGAGGTGAGTGCCCGCGCTCCGCGACCCAGGGCGCCCTGTCTGTGCAGGGGTGCACGCGGCCCGGACAGGGTGTGGGGTCAAGGGCAGAGTTCTTCTCAAGGTGCCCTGGGGAGTGGAGTTCCCAGAGATGTCATATATAACGTCGGGCAAATGGCACCTACCCGGGAGGCGTGACCCAGAGACTGAGTTGGACCCCCTGAGTACATGGCAGGTCCCAAGGCAGCCCTTTGGCACTTCTAGGCTGAGAGACTGAGGTCTTTGGCAGGATTCAAATCATGTCTTCGCCACTTACAGCTGTGTGCCCTTCCCCTTCTCTGTGCCTGATTCCTTAACTGCATAATAGGAATAATGAAAGTGACCACCTGAGTTAATAGAGGAGCCTGCTACCAGAGGTCAAGTGCTTAGCTCTGAGCCTGCGCACAAGAAGGACTCTCTCAAAACTGGCAAATGTCCTTCTTGGGAAACATCATCTCTTCTCTGGGCCTTGTCCATGCAGTGCTCATCCCCTGGCTACACCTCAGAGGAGAAGAGCAGGCCAACTCTGGAGTCAGACAGATGGGTTGGCACCTGGGCTCTCCTCTAACGAGCCCCAGTGCCCCTGAGTAACTTGCTTAGCCTTTCTGAGCCTCAGTTTTGCCCCATGGGCCACAGCGACCTGGTAGGTCATGAAGTAGAGGAAGGTAAGGCCACTGGACGTCTCAACATGACACCTGGCGCATCCTGGCTGCCCTGGGCCTGTTGACTGTTAGTCCTTCTCTTTCTTATTGACTGGCTGTCCAGATGGACTCCCCAGGCACCAAGGGCCAGGCCAGGGGCAGGGGTTGGGCCCAGGAAGGAGTGAGAGCCCAAGGGTGGTGTCCAGCCTCCCCACTTTCTCTTCCAGTGAGCCTCCTCCTGGGTTGTGCAGGCCTCTGATGGTGGAAGCAGGAGAGGCCAGGCCGGCAAACAGCACCGGGCCTTTCTTTCCACTGTGGTAACATCCAGCCATTCATTTTGTGGTTTGCAGAGCTGAATGACATCACTTTCTTTGGCTAGTTGCAGATTTTTTAGGTTGGGGGTGGGTTTCTAGGCCCCCAGGTAATGCCCATGGGAACCCAACCATTATGATGGCACACTGGAGAGATGCCACAGGGGGCCCAGGGGAGGGCATCTACAAGACTGGGGTGTGGAAGGGCGGCCCCTCTCCACTGATGTCCTGGATCGGTCATCCTAGATGGTGAGATCGTGGCAATTTCTGAGCTTTACATCATGGAAATGCACACTTTACATTCCATGGACCGTTTTGGAGGACATGCTGGGGCAGCCAGGGGAGAGGTGGGCATGCTCATCACCAAGGGATGGACTCTCTTTGTCTGGTTTCCCTGGCACTTTAAAAGCACCTTCTTTTAAAGAACCACAAGATTCAAGTCTTTTACAGATGGGAAAATAGGCCAGAGAGGCAGCCTTGCCTAGAGGCCACAGCCCTGCTGTGGTGGTGCTGGTCCAGCCCAGGCCACCCAGCCCCAATGCCCTGCCCACTGGACTTGACCTCCTCTTTCAGGCAATCCTGGAAGCCTAGGGAGCCAGCAGCTAGGAAGGATGGGGTCCCATCTCCCAGGCTTCCTGCCCTAAACAAAGGCTGGAGAGCAGGCTGGGGGTTTGAAGACTCCACAATAACTCATCAGCTGGGGCCCAACCTCAGGTACAGGGCAGAAGAAAGCAAGGTGGACAGAGCTCCTGGGGCAGGGAGGGATCCAGGGCTGGGTGACAGCCCCTGCCCAGTTCTGGCTGGAATTTGGGAACACAACCATTTCCACAGGGCCAATGCCCAAAGGCCCCAAAATGTCAACAAGAGGCAGCAGGACCCAGTTCTGCTTGCTCGGCTCACTGAGGCCTTCTGGTCTAGCCCCCATAGGCATCCTTCCTGGGGAGACTCTGACACCCTCTCTTGAGCTGTGTCCCCGATTCTGTAATGATCCACTGTTGGTGTGTGAGCCTCATGAGGGCAGGCCCCGGGCTGAGTCATCTCTGTCCTGGCTCAATACAGGCCTAGCCCTGCCTTCCTGACTGAGTATAGCTCAGCAGATAAGATTAGGTACTTATTTGTCCCATGGACAGAGGGTGACCCTCCCTGGGGCTCAAAGAACACAATAAAAAGTATAGAGTGTCTCCGGAGCCAGAGTAAGGGCAAGGGCAGTGACAATTCAAGTCACAGGGGCGGCCGGATCACTTTCCTGCACACTCCGGGCATCAGGAGTTGGAGTTAGTGATTTCAGGAGAGGCAGGTACTGGGGACAGAATCTGGCTTCTAGAGCCAGGGGACTTGGCTCTGTAACTGCCCATCTGTCTACCATATCACCTGGGCCAAGTCACTACCCTCCTGGGGCCTCTCTGGAGAATGGGAGAGCAAAGATTGTACTGCTGTGTCCTGGATGACAGGCTCTAGAGATGCCCCAGGGAGGGGATCAGGAAAGGCAACCCCGGGAAGGGGCATTTGACATGGGTCTTGTTTGAATTTCAAGAGCTTGAGAGGCAAAGGAGGGACCCCTGGGCAGACTGAGTCTTGTTTTTGGCATGCTCCTTTGTGTCTATAACTGGGCCTTGAGAAGGTCCTCGTGTTTGCTGAACGAATCCATGAAGGAACAAGGAACAGATGTAGATGTCATTCCAGGAGGAGGGGACAGCATGAATGAAGGCTCAGAAATGGGAGGACCCTGTCCAGGAAGACAAAGAAACTGCCAGTAACTGGCATGTACAGGGTGCCAATTCTGTGCAAGGGGCTGCAAGGGTCTGTACCCCCAGTATCTTGTTGACTCCTGAGAGCAATGCTCCTTGGCAGGGATTTGAATCTTTTATAAAGGAGGTAAACAGGGCCAGGGACGGAGGAGGTCTTACCCACCCGGCTCTAGGCCTCCCCTCCAGGCAGGTCACCTGGGAGCCTTCCCAGAAACAAGGACACTGTCTGGGGAGGGGACAGTGCTGCATTCCTGGGTGCTGGCCGGCCCCCACCCCTCCTAGAAGATTCCTCACCTCCCCTTCCCCCTTCCTCCTTCCTTAGAGGTACACCCCCACAGTGTTTGAGCGGTACGCCATCAGTCTGCAAGTGAAGGGCAAACCTGTTCGCCTCCAAATCTGGGATACAGCAGGTGGGTGTTTGGGGCTTGGTGGGGGCAGGGTGCAAGAGGGACTTCTGTGGGCCCAGATGCCTGGGACAAAGCCCTGGTCCCCTTCTTCTAATCCTGGGAAGCCAGCCAGCCTCCAAGGAACAGGTGTTGGCTAGGATTGGGGGCCCCCAGGAACTTGATCCCTCCTGGCTTCTGCACCTGTCTGTGGCCTCCATCCCAGGGAAGCCCCTGAGTCCTGGAGACGAACAAACAGGAGTCCAGAGCTCTGGGCTCTCAAGGCGTGGACTGGTCCTGGCCTCCCAGGCTTTCCACCCTGGCTTTAGCTTCCCTGGCCCACCTGATCCTGATCTTGGCCTCTGGCCTCACCCATACAGGGGTGAACTCAAAGCTAAACTGAAGGCATCTGAGTTTTCCTCTTGCCTTGGATGAGCTAAGGTGTCTTTGTGGGGTCCCACCTGTCCCTTCCTCCTCAGCCTCCAAGCCCAGGGTAAAGCAGGCTCCCGAATGATAGTGGGCCTCAGCTGCTCAGGCTCCCACAGGTTGGCTCTACCTAACCTCTGCCCCTGCTGCAGGGCCACCTGGCAAATGCTCTTCTCAGGCCAGGGCTGGCACATCCTTAAGGCAGGCCAGGTAAGCACCACCCCAGGGGGATACTCACACATAAGGCACAAAACTAGGCCCTCCAGAGCCCCTACCTGCTGGGATGGCCTCCCTATCCAGGAGGTGCCAACAGCAGGCAAGAGACCTGGAAGGAGTGACCCCCCTCCCAATTCTGCCCAGGACAAGATGACTATGACCGCCTACGGCCCCTCTTCTACCCTGATGCCAGTGTCCTGCTGCTCTGCTTTGATGTCACCAACCCAAACAGCTTCGACAACGTCTTTAACCGGGTAGGTAGTGGGGAGGCTCCATAATAACCATAGCCCAGGCCACTGCGTCCCCACCCTTGACCCAGCTGACCAGCAGAGATTGGCAGACCCTAGTTGATACTGAGTCTGGTGCCCTGGGTATATATGTGGGGACACTGAGGCCCAGAAGTGGGCAGGGACTCGCCCAGTGTCTTCCAGGGATGTAGAGGCAGAATCTACTCTGACTCCCAGCCCAGCACTTGTTGCCTGTCCCCACTGCAGACTCAGAAGCTGGCTCTTTCCACTGTGACTGTACATGAGAATGCTGGGGGACACAGAGGAACTATCTCCCCAGCTGTGCCTGCTCAAGGTGGCATGAACCGTGAAGTCAGATTCTAGCCACTCTCAGCAGCTCCTCCCCAATGTCTCGCCCGCTGGCTGCCAGGCCTCCCAGGAAGCCCCAACTCATGTAACATTCCCGAGGCTGCCCTTAGATGTCTGGGATGCAGTCCCTTGAGATCCTCTACCCCAGCCTGGCACAGTCTCTCATCCACCACTGCCAGGGCCTCTGTGCAGTGGCCTATTCCAAAATTCCTCGGGGCACAGCCAGTGACAGCATGAGTGATAACAAGGATGGGGACAGCAACATTTACTAGAACTTACTATATACCAGGCACTGTCCTGGGTGCTCATATGTGTCTATTTGCTCATCTAATCCCCCTAACAATATTTCAGAGTAGCTACTATTATTGTTCCCAGGCAAATCACTTATCCAAAGATACCCATCTATTAAAGTGTCACCTCTAGGATTGGAACCCAGGCAGCCCTTCACCTGCATTCATTCAGAGCCATTTATTGTGCTAGGTGCCATTCTGGGCTCTGGTGGTGGGGGTACAGGGGTGTCTGGGAAAGGGAGTAGAGAGGAGGGTGGACTGAATCTGCTGGAGGCAGTCCATGGAATCGGCTGATGAACTGGTCATGGGTGTGAGGGGGGAGTTAGGACCAGAGCAACGGGAAAGTGGCAACTGCCGCCGTTTCCCAGCAGGAGAAAGAGCAAGCTGGGGTGGGGGGTGGGGGTGCCCAGAGTCCTGCACCCCCACTGCAGGCGTCAGCGTAGGTCTGCAGAGGCGGGAGTCGGCAGTTCCTCTGGAGGGCAGGCTGGGCACTTAGGAGCTGCCAGGGACTGGGGAGGACCTGGGAGCCAGAGAAGCTCCCGAGGAGGAGGAGGAGGAGGAGGAGGAGGAGGAGGAGGAGAGCCCCTGGGAACCAGGAGACAGGACCTGGGCACAGACCTGGGAGAATTCCCTGTTGGATTTAGAGGTGTCGCATTGTGCAGCATCTACCTAGGACCCTACTGAGGCCCATTTGACTCCAGGAGCAGAACAGTTTGTTCAGGACCAGGCTGATCTAAGAACTTATATGTGTGAATGCATTAACCCCAGGGCCCTAGCAGCATAAAGGTGTGCTTCTTTTTCCTGAAGAGGCACACTCAGCCGCTGGGCACTCCTGGAGATGGAAGGCCCCTCCCCCGACACCGGTGCCCCAGCTGCAGCCCAGGCTAAAATAACTCAGCCTTCATGGTCTCCCATTCCACAGAGCAGTGACAGAGATAGGAGCTGTCTCTCCGAGGGGTGACAGTTGAGACAGACAGGTGCTGTAACCATTTTGTAAGCTGATTTATCTTACTTAATTTTGTACATTGTTTTGAGGTTTTGGTGCTGGGGATTGAACCCAGGGGCACCTTACCACTGAGCCACATCCCCAGCTCTTTTTTGTGGGGTGAGGTACTAGGGATTGAACTCAGGGGCACTCAACCACTGAGCCACATCCTCAGCCCTATTTTGTATTTTTTTTAATATTTATTTTTTAGTTGTAGTTGGACACAATGCCTTTACTTTATTTTTATGTGGTGCTGAGGATTGAACCGCATGTGCTAGGCGAGCACTCGACCACTGAGCCACATCCCCAGCCCCCCTATTTTGTATTTTATTTAGAGACAGGGTCTCACTGAGTTGCTTAGCACCTCACTTTTGCTGAGGCTGGTTTTGAACTCCTGATCCTCCTGCTTCAGCCTCTAGAGCCGCTGGGATTGCAGGTGTGTGCCACCACACCTGGCACCCAGCCCTTTTTATTTGAGACATGGTCTCACCAAGTTGCTGAGGGTCTTGCTAAATTACCCAGGCTGGCTTCAAATTTGCAATTCTCCTGCCTCAGCCTCAGGAGGCACTGGTGTTACAGGCATGCACCACCATGCCCAGCTGAAATGATTTATTTTTAAGCAAATATATACTTGGCCCAGTTTGAGAGGTGGTCATGAGCTCCCTTATCTTTCAGAGAGACAGGATTGGGGGAGGGGAGAACAGGACTGTGGGCCCCACCCCCTGAGGCTCAAATCCTACCATTTCCAGTTGTATGACCTAGGCCAAGTTACATAGCCCCTCCCTGCCTCCATGACCACATCTGTGCAATGGGCTTATTTCAGAATATGCTGATAGGGCCCTGGGGTTAATGCATTCACACATATAAGTTCTTAGATCAGCCTGTCCTGAGAGTTTGCTCCCTGCATACTGACCATTCTGCTCGTGGTTGTTGGAGTCCAGCCAGGGCAGCAAGAGCATGGCCCACTGGGAGGGCAGAACTCCTGTTGACTCAAAACCCCCCTACCCTGCTGCAGTGGTACCCGGAGGTGACGCACTTCTGCAAAGGAGTGCCTATCATCGTCGTGGGCTGCAAGACTGACCTGCGCAAGGACAAGGCTCTGGTGAATAAGCTGCGGAAAACGGGGTCAGAGCCTGTGACCTACCAAAGGGTAGGAAGCCCAGCCTGGGTCTAAGGGGACTGGGACAGGACACCTCTGGGCACCTCTCCCCAATGCCTGGTGTGGAGCACACTTAGGGGTCTTGCAGGCTGTCAGGAGTCAGGAACTGCGGGTACTTGGAAATGCTACCTAGACAGCTTCCAAGAGGCTCCTGGAGAAGGAAGAAGGTGGGAAAGAGCAAACCAGAGTTACCCCTCCCGCGCACTGCACAGAGGCCCACAGAGGAAGTCCGCTCTCTGCTGCATGCCTGGCTGAGCCAGAAGTTAATTGGTTGCGGTCTTGAGAGGCAGAGACCCAGATAGGGGCACAATGAAGTGCAGAACAGCGCTTGGTCAAGCCAGGGTGCGGGAGCCAAGGGAGCCCTAGAAAACCCCACCAGGATGGCTGGGAGTGCTGCAGGAGGGCGGGAGGCGAGGCCCAACCAGCGCCCCCAGCTTACGGCAGCCCCGCCCACCTCTCCCTGTTAGGGCCTGGAGATGGCGAGGTCCGTGGGTGCAGTGGTGTACCTTGAGTGCTCTGCTCGGCTGGATGAGAACGTCCACGAGGTCTTCCAGGAGGCAGCTGAGGTGGCTCTCAGCAGCCCAAGTCGCAACTTCTGGCGGAGGATTACCCAGAGTTTCTGCGTGGTGATCTGACCAGCATGGGGCTCTCACTGCCCCCTGACTGTCACACCAGCTTGGGAAGGAATTGCGTGCTAACCTGCAGAATTGGTTGGTCTGGACCCAGTCCCCAGGCTGGGCCTATTGAACTGTACCTCCACGGATGGACACCACCCCAGAGCCTGGGGACACTGAACTGAGGAAGCGGGGTTCCCAGGGAGAGCCCAATCCTAGCCTGACATCTGGAGTGGCCTCTGCAAACCTGGCCTGGTGCCACCTCTTGTGGCTGCTCCTGAGGCTGTACCTGCAGGACCTAGCATTCTTAGGCCCATGAAACCAGAACCCACACTCTGCCCCTGCCCCTACCCCTCCCCTTCCCCCTACTAGTTCCAGTGGTAAGTGTAACAATTAAAATGACATCACTTGTCATTTGTGTCCTGCCTCTTGTTGCAAAGCACCTTTACACATGGACCAAGGTGGGTAAGAGTTCACCCCATATAGACACCATGATTAGACCTCTTGGATTCAAACCTGGCTTTATCACTTTCAGGACCTTGGGGAAAGTTCTTCTGGGTCTCAGTCTCCCCATCTTTAAAGTGGGACCAATCAGAGACCAACATATATAAAAAGCAGGGGACTGGGTGCAATAATTCCCACCTGTAATCCCAGCAAATTGAGAGACTAAGGCAGGAGGATCGAAAGTTCGGGACCAACAGGGACAAAAAAGACCCTGTTTAAAAATAAAAACTAAAAAGGGCTGAGAATGCAGTTCAGTGGTAGAACATTCCTGGGTTCGATCCCCAATACCATCAAAAAAAAAAAAAAAAAAGCATACACATTCTTATTTTGTTTATCTAGTGTCTCAGACTCCTCCAGAGAGACAACCTATAGGACACACACACAAAGGGATCCACTGAGCCACATCACCAAATCTTATTTTGAGACAGCATCTCACTAAATTGCTGAGGCTGGCCTAGAACTTGCAACCCTCCTGCTGCAGCCTTCCAAGTTGCAGATTCCAGGCGAGTGCCACTGTGCCCACTGGGGCTACAGTCTTGATTGTGAATTCTGCAGAGCAGCAGGCTGGACACTTAGGCAGGGTTTCTGAGTTGCTGACTTGTGGCAGAATTCTTTCCAGGAAACCTTTTATCTAAAGGTCTTCAAATGATCGGACAAGACCCACTCACACAGTGGAGGGTCATCTGCTTTAGTTAAAGTCTTTGATTTAAATGTAAATCACATCTAAAAAAATATTGCCATGTACGGTGGTATATGTCCGTAGTCCAAGCTATACAGGAAGTTGAGGCAGGAAGATTGCAAGTTCAAGGCCAGCCTCAGCAACTTAGTGAGGCCCTAAGCAACTTTATGAGACCCTGTCTCAAAAATATAAAAAAAGGTCTAGGGATGTAGTTTATCATCCCTGAGTTCAATCCCCAGTACCCAAAAAAAGCCCATCATAGACAGAGCTGTAGGCACACTGGAAGAGAGCTTGCCTTGTTTACATGAGACCTTGAGCTCCATCCTTAGCACCACAAAAGTAAAAAATAATAATAGGAAAATATCGATCAAGGGCTCCAGGAACCCACATTTTAGGAAATTAAAGAATCTCCTGAGCTAGGCTAAGCTCCCTAGGTTGATAGAGAACACAGAACAACATTCTGGTGTAGTCATTCATGGGAGAGAGCATGAAGTTGAAAATAGAGGCCAGAAATAATTGCTTTCTATTCCTGAATGGCCTAGACTAAAAACCCAAAAGTGGACTATGTCATTCAGGAGGGGTTTCCATGTAGATCCCAACACCATTCACTTGCTGCAAGCCTGCCCAGTAACCTGAGCTGTGGTGCAAGTGGTTCTTCATCTGAAGCGGGATGTTAGTGGCTGCCTGTCATTAAGTAACCTGTGTATTGTCTCAAACAAAATGGTCTAGTTTAGCCAGACATGGTGGTGCATGCCTGTAATCCCAACCACTGGGAAGGCCAAGGCAGGAGGATTGCAAGTTCAAGACCAGTCTCAGCAATTTAGCAAGACCCTATCTCAAAAAAATAAAAAGGGCTAGGGATGTAGCTCAGTAGTAGAACACTAAACATGCATGAGACCTTGGGTTTGATTTCTAGTACTGGGGCAGGGGATGGGAATAAAATGGTCCAGTTCAAGTTTGGGGGAATAATGTGATGTTCCAGGTTTACCCCAGCTTAGGGCTCAGTAATGTTAGAGAATTCACATTTGGTTTTGGTCAGATAGGGTTTTACCAAGAGCTCTGATTAGCCAGGCATGTGACTCACACCTGTAATCCCAGCAACTTTGGAAACTAAAGCAGGAGGATCACAAGTTCAAAGCCAGCCTCAGCAACTTAGCAAGGCCCTGTCTCAAAATAAAAAATAAAAAGGGCTGGGGACGTGGCTCAGTGGTTAAGCACCCCTGTGTTCAATCCCTAGTTCAAAAAAATCAGATTAGGTTCACATTACAGTTTTAAAAAATTCATATTTCCATCCAGAGCACCTGGGGATAGAATGGATTCATGTAACCCTGGCTATTATTTCCTGGTGTGGTTGGGATGAATCCCTCAAGCATGAGACTCATTCATTCAGGCCAGAAATGAAGCTGTGCCACTCACCTTGAGGCTCAGGCAGATGAATGGACATTATGGGGATAGCTCAGACTACATTCCAGTCGGAGCACCCCTGAGTCTGTCTTCAACTATGACTCCCCCCACAAGCCTCTATGGATTCTAAGTATTATACAGGAGAGCAGTTCATGGGCTGGACCTTCTTACAGAATTGGTTTTGTGTGTGTGTGTGTGATTTTAGGAATTGAACCCTGGAGCACTCTACCACCCAGCCCTTTTTATGTTTTATTTAGAGACAAGTCCTCATCAAACTGCTGAGGCTGTCTTCAAATTTGCAGTCCTCCTGCCTCAATCCAAAATTGCTGGGATTACAGGCATGCGCTCAGCTCAGAATCAGTTTTATGAGTTCACATTTACTTAATACCTAACCAAGTGCCAGGTGCTGTGCTTGGACACTGTCCATGGAGGATCTCATTTAATGCCCATGGGCCCAGTGGGCTAGATCATATATAACACCAAGGGCAAAGCAGCTCAGAGAACATGATAACCTGCCCCTGACTTCAGCCCTGGGATTTAAGCCAAGGACTGTCCAACACAGAATCCAGGCTGTGTACTCCTACCCTGGACCCCCCCAGCCCTAGATCCCACCATGTACAGATGCTTCCTGATGCTAAGGAGCTCACAGTTTGGGAAGACAAGAAAGCCCAGGACTGTCCTCCAGGGGTGGGGGAGCCCAGCCTCGCTCACCCCCCATCCCCGAACTCTGTCACCACCACAGCCACTCTGGACACTGTGGTCACCAGCTACGAAGACCGGGTTGTCTGACCCAGATACCAACCAGTTCGCAAAGTCAGCTAGCCGGGTCACAGGAGCCCAGAAGAAAGGACAGGGACTGGAATTTATTGGGTCCCCACCAAATGCCAGGCCTGTGGCTAATGAGGTGCCTTGTTTAGCCCAGTTCAGAGCAGAAGACCACAAGGACAAGGGAGAGTGACCCATGAAGGGTCTTGTGGGTAGAGATAAAGCTGTGCGCCACTGAGGCTCTGCTGCACCTCACTGAGGACACATGCCAAGAGGTCAAGGTCAGGGTGGGATGGCTCTCTAGTTCTCCATGGTCAAAGGGGAAGCAGGCAGGCCTCAGAGAGCCAGAGGATCCAAAGGCATGCAGAGGCAGGGCTACTTCACAGGCTGGGAGGGAAGTGAGCTGCCTTTCACTTGAAATGGTTCTTCTGTCTCCCAACAGAAGATAAAGATATTGTGCCTGAGAAACTGCTGTGACTCCATTTTTGAGAAACCAGCCTCTACCTCAGAGCAAAGCCTGTCCAAGGAAGGGGGAGTGACCCTTGTCCTTGGCAAAACCCACAGAGCACTCCTAGGCATATACCCACTCTGCTGAGTTGTTAGTCTGCAAATAACAGGAGAGATCTGCTGCGCCAGGTGTCCCTGACTCAGTTAGGCTAGATGAGGACCCATGGCAACCCCCAATCAGCATGAGATGGAAAATACCTGGGATGCCAGATGACCCCCCAGTTGTTTATGGTAGTTGATAACATGTTGGGAAACCATTTAGTTCAGCACGTACTCCCCTTGTGGCCTAAACCAATCAGATCAAAGGAATCCCCTCTTGTACTAACCAATCACCCCTACCCAACTTGTTCCCACCAGTGAATGTGCTAATCAATGTTAAGAGTTGTTCATTGGGCTGGGGATGTGGCTCAAGCGGTAGCGTGCTCGCGTGGCCCTAGGTTCGATCCTCAGCACCACGTACAAATAAAGATGTTGTGTCTGCCGAAAACTAAGAAATAAATATTAAAAAATTCTCTCTCTCTCTCTCTCTCTCTCTTTAAAAAAAAAAAAGAATTGTTCATTGATTTTCCCGCGGTATGTATTGATTTGCTGTGTGATGTGACGCATAGAGTACCCCCAAAAACCTATAAAATATCACTGGAGAAAGGACTAGGACTTACTCCCTGGGACCATTGCGTTGGGAACGGTTGTGAGTCCAGGCTCGAGTTTGCTATAAAGACTCTTGTGTGACTGCATTGGATTCGGCTCCTGGAGGTCTATTGGGATCCCACAAATCTGGCATTACAGTGCCCAACTACAACTAAAAAATAAATAATTAAAAAAATACATGTGATCTGCCGGGCTCCAGGCTCTCCGCCTCCTCCACCCTCCTCACTACCCACAAAGCCATCTGCCAAAGCACAAATCCAGTCACAAGGCTGTCCTGCATCATAAAAGATGTACCTGAGAAAGAGTCCAAAGTCTCCAGCTGCGGACTTGGGCTCTCCTGTGCCTGACTCCAACCCACTTCCCTCTGGGTCTTTTCTGCAGGCCACCTCAACATAGCCTGTCCCCATCCCGTCCAGCGGGCACTGACTTCCAAGGCTTTGTCTAGGCCACCTCAGTGAGCCCTTCCTCCCAGTCCCAGCCTGTGCAAACTTCCCTCCTTTGTGGAGCCTTTAGGGTCCAGCTCAGACACCATCTTCCCCAAGAAGCCAGGGGACCTGCCGCTTCCTTGTCAATGAGCCCAGAGGCACTTGTTCACACACCAAAGCAGGCATCCTCTACCAGGCTGGGCTTTGCCACCCATGCCGCCAGGGGAAAGGGCCTGGGCCTGGCTAGACTCCCTGAGATGCAGGGTATCCCGGGGTATGGAGGCAGGAGCCAGGAGCCAGCTGCAGATGTCCAGACCCAAAGAACAAGACACCACAAGTCAAGACCTGGTGGCTTCTGGGCTGGGAAGCCTTGAACAAATAGGGGGACTGCAGGAAAGATGGGGACACCCCAAGTGAGGGAAGAACTTAAGAGTTGGCACAGTGTCACAAACCTGTGATCCCAACGAACGAATGGAAGGC